GGGTGGTTGCTCGCGGGGAGGCTCCGGCAGAGCTCATGAAGTGGTGGGTTGCAGCGGTGCCTCACTCTGCCTTTAGTGGGGCCACGTTGGTGTAACGGGGCTGAGTTGCTTTAAACTGAATTTCCTCCATAAGGCCATTTCTGCAGTTCTTGTCCAGTATGATATACGTATTTTTCTTTCTGCTTCTGTTGACAGTGAAGCTGGGCCAGAGCCGGGATGCTCTGGATAAAGCTAGGGGTTGTTGGATGTCTGTACCCAGATGTGGATTGTGCTGGCTGGCCTTGTGTCCGTGTTCATCAGCCAAGGGGTTTCTCTCTCTTCTCTTTTTCAGTCTGCAGAATTCTTCGAAATGCTGGAAAAAATGCAGGTGAGCATTAGCACATTATTAGTAACTCTGAACATACGGTTTACTCCACCCTAGACAGCTCCTGAGATGCCACCAGAGAGAAGCCGCGAGGGGAGGGAGTTCCCAGAGCAGCTTGTGACTTTGAAGTACAGTTAACAAGTCGGGAAAACCTTGTACTAACATAACACGTTTTGTGTTTTTGCTGAGGTCACCAAAGCCAATATGATTTCCACTGAAAAGGATCATGGAAGATGCTTTTCAACTCAAACTTAGCATAAGAAAGTTACGCAAATATGTCCCAAGATGTGTCCAGGTAGCAGCGGCCCTAGGAACTTCCTTTGAGGTTATTCCATGTTATTTTGAGAAATTTTTTGAAAGAAGCTTTAGCTCTTGGTCTGCATGTTGTCATGTGCTGGCACACACTCTGAAACGTGACCCTGTTGCTTTATGGTGTTTGTGGTGTAAAGTCACCTTTTGCCTTACATTTGAAAACATCAGGTGGTACCGAGCATGTCTTATGCTTCGGATGGTTTCTCGTATCGCTTGACCTTGGTCCAGGTCAAGGTATCCCTTTGTGCCACACTAAAATATCAGGATCTTCCCAGTCGCCTCTGTCGACCAGAGGAGGAATTGCTGATGGAGAGCAGCACGTTTCAGGGCATTGGGTGCGATTCCCAAGGGAAGGAGAGTGGCAGGGTGCGTTTGCCTCTTGCACAGTGGGAAGCACGGTCTTCTCCCAGGAACACGATACAAGCCGACATGAGCAAGAGGGTTGGCGATTTGTGTGTGTTTTATCAGGCCGAAACGAGCACTATGAGAGCGCCCAGGGCTTGCGCATGCCAGTAGGTATTTTTCCTGCTCTGCAGGGAAGCTAGTTCAGATGGTCTTTATGAGCCAGCCTTGGAGAAAAAAAGATGGAACTGGAGTCGGGTATGGGGCATTTTGCGTTGGTTTTGTGTAGGTGCTGCCCAAGTATCTAGGAAATCATGGTCCTTACCTCAAATTTGAAATTTTTGAGTGTAGTGTTGATCTCTCCTCGGTTTTAGCCTACCTCATCCATGCCACCCATTTTTGCGGTCTTATAACAGGGGTCATACTGCCATCCGGACATTTGGAAAACAAACCTCTTGCTCTGCTCTGACTCGGTCAGAAATCCCTCTCTTTTTGTGCCGTTTGCTTCAGAGAGATTTCACTGTAGTGAAATATCGTTGCGGTTTTGTCTGTGTTGTTGAAAACATCATAATTATTTAGTCTATTATTTTGTTTCAAACAGGCACCAAAACTTGAAGAACAGAAAACTGGAAGCCAAAAACATAAGGTTAGTTGAATTTTGTTTTTTCGTGGATCTTTTCTGCGCCCCTTCCCCACCCTTTTTTAATCTCCAGAAGTCAGGACTGTAACGTGTGTAGTCAAAGACAGTCACTAAAAGGACTAAAAAAGGATTTAAATGTTGTGGAAAAACAAGGCACTGATTGAATGCAAAGATAAGATAGTGGTGCATGTAAATCCCTAATCCAGCTTTATGTCTCCAACCTGTGTATTTCAGTGGTCAGCTATGTAAAATAGTTGTTTTTTGTATGTAGCGTTGAGAAGCTTGAACTGATACTCAGAGGAGAGATGACTTTTGTAAAAGACGCGATGATTTGGAGCATTTTCCCATGGGACTCGCAGGAAGGGGGGGCCGCGCGTGGCCCC